AATAGTATCTTGAACGATTTGTTGAATATTATTAATCTCTTTATTTTTAAGAGAATAAGTTTCTTTTTGAGTTAAATACCACCAAATACAAGTTAATTTAAATACATTATCATTAGTTAATCTATTTCAGTGTGGTATATATATATTTGCAATAACTGACCAAAACCGTTCACTATTAGCTGATGTTGGTAGTATACTCATAATTCGAAAAAAATAGTACCAATTCAGATACTTCATTTCGAAAATTGTTCCAAAAATATAAAGGGTCTTTAATTAAGTAATCATCCCAGTTGCCTTCAAAATCGAAAAGATAAACTTTATTACTCCAATCAATTAATTGCATTCAAAATCTTCTAATATCCTTATTTAGAAAAAAACGTTCAAATAAATGACTAGCCTCTTTTTTAATTATAGTTGAAAGCTCAGGACGAATAGCTTTTGCAAATATATATTTAGGATGAAGAGACCAGCAAACAAGAAAAAGTAAATTATATATTTTGTTCTATCGATATTGAATTCAATTTATAACATATTATTGAAAATTAGTATTATCAATTGTATTAACTATTATTGGCATTCGAGCCCATAAATAAACTGTATCAGCAAATGTTGTTTGTTAAGATTCTAAAATAATAGGAATAAGTGAATAAGTTTCTAATATACGAACTATAATTCTTAAATGATACCAAAACATATTATCTTTAAGAATAGATATAATATGTTTGTCTAATCGTGATTCTATTTCATATGCTATATCTTTCAAATATTGCTCTTTATTTTGGATTTGTTGCAATGATACAAAAAAAAAATTTCATCGTGTAAGTATAGGAAGTGAAAACCAGAATATACTATTATTTGTATGAGCTCGAATATACTGAATTGCCTAAGTGTTTTTTCAAAAATATGTAATAACTTTCATAGTTACACCTATAGTTGATTTTATATATTCATGCTTTAATATATCTCCAATTAATAGATTTGATTCATGTGCAGTATATGGCAAAGCCAAAATATTTGGATACTGTTGAGTAAATATAGCTTTTATATGAATATAATTGGCAGCTCTATCAGTAATAATTGCATTAATTTTTTCAATGCCAATTCATATTAAAGTATCTTCTAAATCTTTAAAAATAATGATTGAGGTTTGACTTTTCCCAAAAGTATCTTTAATTCTAACAAGTTCAACTCTTCGATTTTTACCAATAGCCATAAAGTTTATAATATAATCTTGACGAAGATTTGTCTATCTATTGGTTGCAATAGAAATCCAATCAGATTTGCAAATAAATTGCTGAATTAACATTTGAACCTTTTTGTAAACGTTATTAAGAATATTATTTGAAAGGTGTCTTCTCGCTAGGACATGATAATTTGTATTAATTGAGTAAACAAATTGTTTAAATTTTTTTAAATCTACAAATAAAAGAGGTATGCCACCTTCTATTATACTCTCTAATAATAACTTATTAGATTCATATGCATCAATTAGTAAGTGTGTAAAATAATTATTGTTTGCTTTAGTAGAAACAATTAAATTATTTGAAGTTGATATAGAAGGTGTAATTAATTCTTCTGATAAAATACTCAATTGTTGATCTTGTATAATAGTCAGATTCATTGCTATTTTTTGTTGCTGAATATGATAAGCTTCAAGAAGATATTTTTAAACTTCAAAAGGAATTTTTGAATATTTTTTAATATGTAAACTCATTACGGCCGCAGTATCTGATATGGGTTTATCAAGTTTGCAAAAAATGCAACTTGCTTTGGGTTTTTTGTTAGTTGGAACTGGAAAAAATGCTTGCCAAAGAGGGCTGATCGGATGACCAATACTTTTAGCTAGAAGTGTATGAAGCAAATATTGAATTTCTGGACTTGGTAAAGGCTAATTTGACATTATAAAAAAGGAAATCAAAATAATTGATGTTTTTTTTCTTTTTTTTTTATTTTATATTAAAAAAATTCTGGTTCGAAATTATCAAATAAATACATCATAAAACCTATCACTACGATTTATTTAATATTCGAAATAATCAAATAAATACATCATAAAACCTATTGCTATGATTTATCTAATATTCGAAATTATCAAATAAATACATCATAAAATCTATTGCTATGATTTATCTAATATTTAAAATAATCAAATAAATACATTATAAAATCTATCACTACAATTTATCTAATATTCAAAATGATCAAATAAATACCTATTGCTACAAATTATCTAATATTTGAAATAATCAAATAATACATCATAAAACCTATCGCTACAATTTATTGATTTATCTAATATTTGAAATAATTAAATAAATATATCATAAAACCTATTGCTACAATTTATCTAATATTCGAAATAATCAAATAAATACCTATCACTACGATTTATCTAATATTAACTGGAATATCATATTTTTATCAAATGATTATATAAATATTAATTAATAATGTAATAATTACTTAATATTAATTAAGAGATAAGTCATAAGTAATTATTATGTACAAAATTACTTTGCCCATCTCTACTTATATGGGTTAATATACAACAAAAAAGGGTTTAGAGACAAATTTTTAATACGTATATAAATATCAACGTTTGATAAATTTGACTTTGATAAACAATTAATATTACTTACCGGTATTTAACTGCATATTAAATTGTATCAAATTATATTATATCTTAATATATACTATAGCATCTAAAGATATAACAAACTTGATTTTGATCAAAAATGATTTGAAACCTTTTTGTTTACCTTATATAGATTATTTATTTGAGTTTTATGCAAGTATTTTTTTTAAATTATGATAGCGCATAATTGTTTAGTAGTATGTATTTGAATTATATATAACAATTCAAAATTTTTTTAATGCACCGTATTTTTGGTAAATATAATATATATCAATAAAAAGTCTAAATCGCTAAAAAGAGCTTTATCAGGCTTTTATATAGGTATTTGTCATTAAATTATAATGGTATTACCACAGGAGAAAAGTGATATTTCCAACAAACCAAAAAGCTTGGATATGCATAGGGCTTGTCAACCAAAGATCATCAAGAGAAATGAGTCATAAAAACAACAAAAGTGATTCACAATGTAAAGGCTTAGTATAACTGCAAATATTTAACCTACTTTATTAGTTTGTAAAAGTTATTTAAAAGTTATTTAAGAAACATAACTTAGGGCACTTTTAAGAAAAATTCAGTTTGAGACCATAGCGAAGGGAGTGAAAATACTGAAGGAAGCGACGAAATGTACTAGCAGTAGAGATATTTTATGTTTTATTATTGTAAAGACATGCTAGTATATCCTTGCAGAAAAATATAATTTAATGATATAAGTCTATAAACG